ATTCAGTAGCAATGCTGTGTATTAGATCATTCAGATAGACCGAGAAAGACAAAAACCAATGTTGTATAGAGAACAGAACTTTGTGTTGACTACTGGCCCATCAGTGCAAAAAATAAGTTAACATATGGATGGTACAGTAGTTGCTAATCATAGGCTAACATCTCCTCGCTCTTGCCATCAAGAGTGGGGAGGACTTTTGCGTTAGAAGTGGATGAGAGTGGGATGCCTCTGAGACCTGGGCGGACAGCCAAAAGGGTGCCAGGGCTAGGGCCACATTCTTCATCCACTCATTTAAAGGCGAAGAAGCAGAAAAATGCAAGAAACAGAAGTGTAGAGTTCAAATACTGAGTGCAGAGAAAACTGACGAGGAGGCAATCCCTAAACAGTGATTTCTCAGCCTGGAACAGGTCTCCTGAACAATGCACAAAATTATATATTCTTCTCAAAGTAACGAATGGTCATTGCAAAAGCACTCGTTCATGGTGCTGGAAAGCTGAGCAACCTCCACCCCACCTCTGACATGACTCCAATTCTCAGTGAGAGCGACAGATGGGGCTAAAATCCTGCAAACATTTCCCCTGCGTGTTGATTTAGAGCACAATGAAACAACTCCATACCACCTGTTCACCAACTTGCTTTAGGCACCTAATAAGTTGTTTCTGACATCTTTCTTTGTTGTTTGATTTTGATCAAATATTTTAATTGCAATGAAATTGCTTTATTATTATTTTTTATTTTGTTCCAAGTCCTTCAGGAATAGGGACAAGAACTGTGATTTTCTTGTTGCGTCAAATACCATGGTCCATCACGGTGACAGGCTGCCTCATTTTCATAGATGACATTGGGTTACCCCGCAAACTGCTGACACAGTAGCTGCTTTTTTCTTTTGGTTTTGTTTGTTTAGATATCCTCAACTGTTTATGCCAGCTTTTCCCTTAGTACACTTTAAGCCTGGCTCTCTCCTTTCTTACTGTCTTACTTTTTTTTGGTTTGGAGAGAAGTCCTTCTTTCTGACATTGAGCTGAGCTTATCTGAGGAGGCTCCTGGGCTTGGGGTGCAGTTGGGTTCTGGCATCTGTGAGTCTTTGGGAGTCTATCCACAGAGCAGAGCTAAGCAGATGTTGGACAGCATTTGCACTTGGAGTCATCGGGAAAACAGCACCCCTCACTAATTCACAGCAAAAATTATGCATCCTCTGCATTCTGTTTGGCAACTTGCTCGTGCATTTACCAATTTATTTTGGGCACCATTCCCTGCATTGGAGTTAAGTTTAAACCAGTGGTTCCCAAACTTATTTGGCTTACCGCCCCCTTTCCAGAAAAAATATTACTCAGCCCCTGGAAATTAATTTTTTAAAAATTTTAATAGCAGTTACTCATCGCCCCCAAATGCACCTGTGGCCATCACTGCCCCCCTGGATCGCTGCAGCGCCCACCGGGGGGCGGTAGCGCCCACTTTGGGAATCACTGGTTTAAACCATTTTCATTACCAGCAGGGGCTGATCTGAGAGAAGAATAGGGTAGTAACAAGGAATGGGGCGAGACAGCGCTATCGAGCACTGGAGCCTCTACAATCTCATGTATTCAGGATGAGAGCCACGTGAACAATTGTTCTACAACATTCTTTAGCCACTGTAAAGTAACTTGTTCTTTGAAGGGTTTAGTGGGTGATTACGGGGGAAGGGCAGCCAAAGTATTAAGCACTGTTTTCCCAACACTGAGCTCCCTCACTCTAATCCCAGGCCCTGTGTCTGTAGAAACAGGTAGGCACTGCCTGGAAAGAGCCCTTGCTGGCTAGTGAGGAAACATCCGTCTGTCACTGGTTTTGTGCGTTTTCTGAATAGAAAGCGCTGGAGAGTAGAGAGAGTACTTTGGAAATTGAGGTCGATGACAGGGAGAACGGAGTTGGGAATGAGAACTCTTCAGGCAGAGTCTAAGGTTGCTTTTCAGCCACCTTTTATCCTGGGCAAAAATGTTCCTAGTGTTCGTGCCAAGGCCAGGTTGCTCCTTCCATTTCAAGGCCAACGCTTCATAGTAAACACACGTTTCCTCAGGTTCCCTGCTATCCTTTCACAGAACATAAAGAGGGACGTGAAACAGGGAACCCAAGTTAATCTGTTTTCCTCCAGTGGCTCAGCGTGTAGTAACCGACAGTGGAATTCACAATCCCTGGTGTTAATCTTTGACACTGCTCTCCAGTGACTGCTTGGATTTGGGCTCCAGTCCAGGAAGGTGGTCAGTACAGGGCTCAGGGCACGGAGCAGGCCCCTGCCCAGAGGAGAACTCTGCTCTCTCTGTGCCTCCAAACCAGCTGCCTGCTGAAGACACCTGAACCACAGCAAGAGGCGATTCCCTGGCAGCACTGCACAAAAACCAGGCGTTTCCCCACGGCATGGGCTTTGAAACGCAGGTTTCTCACACTCCTTTTGACATTTTGGACTGGATAATTGCCTGATGAGGGGCTGCTCTGTGTGCACTGTAGGATGTTGCGTAGCAATCCTGATCTTTATCCATCAGAGGCCAGTGGTACTTTGCTCTCTTATGCTCCCTTCCTTCCAAATGCCTCCAGATGTTATCATTGTCCTGCTTGGGGACTGCTGAGTGAACCTGAGAAAGTCCTTTCTCTTGGCTCTGTGAATGGTGAGGCTGTAATAATGGAGGGAGCAGGGGGAGGTGGTTGTAAGAAGGGAGAAAGATGAAATAAAGACTATACAGATTTCAATATTTGTCTTTGATTAAAAATTATAAATATGTTTAGTGGGGAAAAGCTGTACATTTTCATACTATAATGCTGGCTATCTGGTCTTGATTGAGCTTTCAATTTGTAGATGAGATCTTGTGAGCAAACTAACAATTCAGTCCTCTAGCCAACACTTACCAGTAGAGCTACATTTATTAAATTCTCTGCATGGGTCTCGGGGTGTTCGGGCTAATTCCGTGGCCTTAAACAGGAGCCAGCCAGGACGATGCCCAGCAAAGGTGGCGGTGGTAACACTGGGGTGACGATGCTGTCACTAGGCTTTTGCTTCATTCATGTTGGTCTGCATCTTTTATTGGGGACATTAATCCTCTTTTTACTATTTAGGAGGAAAGTATGGGGAATTGAGGAGGATGCCAGGCGTCGGTGGGTGATATTTAAGATAGGAAAGGGGAGTTGTGGGTGAGTTTTGGAGGTGAGATGAGCTCTAAAGGATTATTGTGGACTCTCCATTGACACATAACAGGGACTATTTGAAAAGGCAAACACACACCAAAGTTTTGCTAAACTGACTAGTAGCTTAGGTGATGATAAGTCCATTATATTGCAAGCAATTCTATGGCGAATACTTTAGCGAAAATCAGTAGTCACTGAATAATGTATCCTTTTGATAAATATTTTCATAGTGCAGGTTAGGATTCACTGAAACCAATTAGGTAGGTAATTGAAAATGACAATGGAATTCATTTCACAACCCAGAAAGTCCAGCTTTGTTTATTAAAAATATATTTATTTCATTTGGAGAGTAAAACAGTTTTTATTTTCGTGATGTAATGTTGAAAGGTAATTTAATTTATTAGAATTTGCATCTTTAATATATGCTCCCAGGTCCATAATCTCAACAGCCAGTGACATCCACAACAGTTAATATTAACAATTTTCTAGACTGCAGAGCTTCAAATGCATACTCATTAATTCCTTAGGTGTGTGTTTCAAAAGATCTTAGATGAACAACTAAAAATATCACCAAATTGGACTTAATATAGACTGCACTGCAATGAAACATTTTGGCTACCATTTGATACATGTTTATGAGTTCTGGAAAAGGCTCCATTCTTTAAGCTAATAGCATTGTCAGCCATTTCTTCATTATTTAATTAAAGCAGAATGCCTTAAAATATTTTAAGAGAACAGCTAAATCTGAAGGAAGGCAAAATTGAGGAGACCCCAGTCTCACTGATGTAAGCTTTTGCCTCTCATTTCAATGGAAACCATGATCTGTATTCCAATCACACCCTTGAAAGGCTTGTTTTCCCTGTTGTGAAAATTTAGCCAGAAGCACTGAAGGTGCACCAAACATTCATTTTTATGTTGTCTTTTTTTCTTTGAAAAATTGGTAAAAGAGAAAACAGAACATGACATCTGGTGGCTTATAATACAAACACAATAAGACCATATATATATATTTACTAATTTTAAGAAGATTTTCGTGCCTGTAAGATCACAGGGCTAAAAATGGAATGCTAAATGAAATAACTAACTACTCTGATACCCTAACAAATATACTCAATAAATGCCTTGAGTATAAAATTGCAAATGCTCACCTAATTGGACAGGGTAAAAACTTAGAGACTTGCTCACAATGGTTTAAAATTTTATAGCCCAGTATTTTTCGACTTGGGGTGATTTTTGCCTCCCAGGGCACATTTAGCAATGCCAGGAGACATTTTTGATTGTCATAACTGTGGAACATATGTGGTGGTGGTGGTGTGTTACTGGTAACTAGTGGGTAGGACAGCAATGATGTTACACACCCCACAGTGCACAGGACAGCCACCCAACAACAGAAAATGATCAGCCCAAAGCAGGAAGTTGAGAAACCCTGCATCTAGCTTCATAGATGGTGTGCTGGAATGAGGGACACATACTGAACATTTTAAATTATTGAATAAGTATTTATATTCAAGTAAATAGCTTGGAGGCAACCCTAGTTGCGAGTTGCTTTCCTGTTCTTGTATGATATTTATTTGCTATTCATTTAAATGGCAAAAAGAGGAAAGAAAAAAAAACAAACCAACAGAATCCCTACTTTGTCCTTACTGCCCTTTGGTTAAAATGTGAACATTTCCAGTTCGCATGCGTTTGTCTCATTTGGTAAAGCCTCATGTAAGCTGTAAATACCTGCTCCGTTGGGTATTTCCACCACAAAACCTCTGGCATAGAACTGGGTTGACATGGCCACCCCACTGAAATGCAGTTAAGTTCAGGTAAGGTTTTTTCCTGTTAATCAAAAATAGGCTTACCTTTTCCAGGTTGAATGCGGATACACTTGCCTTTGGCGTCGGTCCCCCTCAATATGCGTTTTGTCTTCCCGATTTTGGAGGACAACCTTGCCCCTGATCGAATGGAGGCCCAGGTCAGGAGGGCAGATCCACCCGCGAGGGAAACCTGCAACTCAGTCCTTTTCTTTGCTGGGATACAGGCGAACACGAGAGCAATCCAAACACGGCCAGGGGGCGCCAAAATGCCGCAAATGAAAGTTCCAAAGGTTCGCACTCCTGTTGCGGAAAGGTGAAATTGGCTAATGAAAGAGCCACCGTTGTAAGAGACATCACGTTATCTTATCTTTTGTATTTGCTTCTTGCCAACAGATAAGCAAGGTGAACATCTCTCCCCACCCGGGTGGCTGTTTTGTGTCCTGGTTGGTGTTAACCAGGTGGCAGTCCCCAGGACTCCCAGACACGCCTTAGTTGGCCCCGTTTTGACTTGTGCGCTCCCGTGCGCGTTGCCTCGGCTCACCCAGTCTTCCCGAGAACTGGTTGCCTCCATTAAATTACAGACGCACAGACACACAAAATCCTGACGGTTTCTTTCCTCGGGTCCTTGTCTTTCCCTTCTCTCTCAAGTCTAGAGAGCATCCTCTCAGGGCGACGAAGCCCGCCCCGCCAGCTGGACCTTGGCCGTGGCGCTGGTCTGAGGCAGCAGCCGTCCTGGCTCAACCCAGTGCGCGAGGGAGCCGCCCACCCAGGGCGCCCGGTCCGCTGGGCGCCTCCCAGAAGTGCCAGCGACGGGGGCCACCCTCCACCTCGCGGACATCTGTCCTTAAGGGCTGAGGGGAAGCACCAGGTCACCCCCAACCTCACTGTCTGCCAGGGTGTCAGAATCTCAGCCCGATGTGGCCAGCTGGCGGGAATGGGGTGCTGAGCTGGGTAGCAGGTGGCAGGGGGCATTATTCATCACCTCCAGGCAGCCCCTTAAGTCTGAGCGATAGCCGGAGCACTTCTAGCCAGGAGAGAGAGAGAGAGAGAGAGAGAGAGAGAGAGAGACCGAGACCCACCCAAGGGCAGCCCAGCGCAGCGGGGGAGGGGAGGCACTCGGGCGGTGGTCCCCAGAATGGAGAGTGGTGGGCAGGGAGTGGGAAACCCAGATAGTGGGCAGATTCAGAGAAGCAGGAGGGGTACAGGGATGGAGAGGAGGGGAAAGGGGGGACCACCGGGATGGGATGGATTAGGGGCTAGGGTGAGGGGAGGGGACTTCGGGAGCGCACAGAAGTGGAGGGGAGTTGAGGGGAGGCGGGCGGG